CCCTGCTGGTTCAGATGGTAAAGAATCTGCCTGCAGTGTGGGAGACCTGGGTTCAGTCCATGAGTAGGGAAGATCCCCTGGAGGAGGGCATGGTAACCCTCTCTGGTATTCTTGCCTGGAGAATCCCATGGCCAGAGGAGCCTGGCAGACTATAGCCCATGGGGATGCGAAGAGTCAGACACGACTGAGCGACTAAGCACACGTAGCATGCACTTTTAAAAATGTGCCATAGCTTTTATTTGTCTGCTTAGAATAAATTACACAGGCAAAAATGGGCACCCAGGAGAAAAATCTGGCGTCTGTTCATTCCAATTCCTAACCCTGATCCTAGCATCACCCTGAGGCTGGGGATTATCCAAAAAAAGTGATGAGCCCATGATGGACTTTTAATAAGTAGGAAGTGAATGATAAAACAAAGGGAATGGCAGAATTTCCTGAATAATTGTTTATATTCAAACGAAGAGAAATTTTCTTCCAGATGTGGATCTATCTTCTCCAGGCATAAAACTAGATGCTATTTGTTTTGATAGAAGGGGAAACTGTGTGCATTTTGCTGATACTTGGCAAAATTGTTTTCAATTACTGATGTCCATAAGAGCAATTCAACATATTTAATTGATACTCAGTAAAAATACAGCGATAATGCCCTCATAAAGCCTTAAGGACACCTACTGTACAACACCCAGAGTCACAGGAATACATGAAATAAGGCATGACTTGTAAACTGGCCATACACTTCTTCATTCATTCATTATTTATTCAGCAAATATCTATTGAGTTTTGTTTGCCAGGAAATGTTCCAGGTGCTTGGGGTGCATCAGTGAAGAAGAAAGTGGTGGTACCTGCTAGCCTGGAGTTTACATTGTCAGCAAGGAGGTGATAGATAATAAATTATAAAATAAATAAGTTACATAACGTATTGGACAGTGGTATGTGCTATGGAAAAGGAATAAGTGCAGCCAGAGGAGGAGTATTTGCCTTAAAGGGGTGATCATGATGTAAAGAAGAGTGGTCTGGCAGGCTACAGAGAAAGGCGACATTTAAGCACTGACTTAAAGGAAGAGAAAGGCCAGGGAGAAAGGGAAAGATACACCCAACTGAATGCAGAGTTCCAGAGAATAGCAAGGAGACATAAGAAGGCCTTCTGAAATGAATAGTGCAGAGAAACAGAGGAAAACAACAGAGTGGGAAAGACTAGAGATCTCTTCAAGAAAACTGGAGATATCAAGGGAATATTTCATAGAAGGATGGGCACAACTAAGGACAGAAGCAGTAAGGACCTAACAGAAGCAGAAGCGATTAAGAGGTGGCATGAATGCACAAATGAACTACACAAAAAAAGGTCTTAGTGACCCGGATAACCATGATGGTGTTGCAGATAGAAGGGAAAATGTGGAAGCAATGACATTTTATTTTCGTGGGCTCCAAAATTACTGTGGAAAATAACTGCAGCCATGAAATTAAAAGGCACTTGCTCCTTGGAAGAAAAGCTATGAAAAACCTAGACAACATATTAAAAGCAGAGACATCACTTTGCTGACAAAGGACCATCCAGTCAAAGCACGGAGTGAGGGGCAGCGAGGAATAAAGGACGTTTTGAAGGACAGGGCTTCCCTGACTGAGACAGAAGGGTTCCCAAGTGTGGGTCAGGAGAGGAGAATGAGGAGTGTTAGAAGGGGGGTCTCTGGGGAGGGGAAGGCACTCCTCGGATCTTGAAGTAACTGCCCAGTGAACAGGGGCCCAGCTGCCCAAGATGGGCTCCCACTCAGTGACCAAGGACACCAGAGCCAGCAAGACAGACCGGGGTCCGGGAGGACGTGGGGCTCCTAACAGGCAGCTTTGGCTCTGAGACCCCCTGGCAGTTCTGCTAATGTTTTCTTACAACTGCACTGCAGTCTAAGACCTGTCCTAGCCTACCTGCATCTCCTCTCTCCACAGGGGCCTGCGCTGTACCCTGAAGACTCTCCCACCATCCCCCATTTCCTCTTTCTTCTTTCATTCACATTTTCTCAATAAACCTTCTGCGTTTCTCTTTCCATCTAACTCTGTGCTTCTCCAAAAAACCGGATGTAACTCAGGGCATTACAGTGAGTAGGTTGGAGAGGTAGAAGGTGGTAATTGGAGAGACCAGAAAGCACTGGGTTCATGGAGCTGCAAGTACTGGTCCTTACAGTGTCTGGGATGTGTCCACGGAGTGAAAAGCGGAGTGACGGTGAAGGACAAGATCACTGTTGAAGAATCCAAGACACTAAAGGCCAGCAGACGGGAATAATCATGTTTGTGTGGTCTGAGCTCGCAAATAATAGTGAGCCAGGAGCTAAAGCAATCAGAATGAGGGGGGAAATGATATAAGATCCACAGATGAAACCACAGTGAGGAATGGAGGGTGATGTAATCCAATGACGCGACAGCCCCAGCTAAAATGCTTGGGAGGTGCGGGCAGAGGAAGGAGAATGGACTGATGAGACAGGAAGTAGTGAAGAACCCACCTCAGCTCAAATCACAGGAGAGCCAAGCCAGGGGACAGGTGGGGAGAGCCAACAGTTACATCTTTAGAGTGTTTCCAAAGAGGCAGTAGCATTGGAAGGGGGCGTGATTTTACACCATCCAGCTTCCCAGGGGCGTCTGGCAAGGTCTGGAAGTGGGGAATTTTATACACCTGCATCCAGTGGATGAAAGCCAGGCATGCTGTGAAATATTCCACCACTCACAGGACAACCTTCCCCCGCACAGAACTATCTGGGCCAAATGTCCACAGCACTGAGGTTGGAAAACCCTTTATTGGAAAAAATAAGGTGTGAGGAAGTTCAGAGAAGGGGTTGTGGAGACAGAGGATTTTTGCCAGGCCTGCATCCTGAGTTATCGAGAGGGAGGGGTTGAAGAGTTGGGCAGAATGGGAAGAAAGAGAGAAGAGGCCACATGCAGACCCTTATGGAAGGAGGCCTGGATTTCGTGTGCTGACCAATATCCATGGGATGATGTGTGTGCTGGTGGGGGGTGCAGAGGTCAGCTTCTGTCGCTCTCTCTTCCTTCTTGATGCTGACGGTGAAAGGCAGAGATCGTGTGGACTGAGGTCTCCCCGGCAGGGCACAGAACTAACCTGAACTCCTGCCTGGAAAGGATACGCACACACCTGAAGTATGTGCGGCTTCCTGGCTCATGCTGACAGTTCATCTCTTCTCTCCTTTCTGGGCCTTCCTTTTTTTTTTTATTCAGTCCTCACTAGCAGCCAGCCTCAAGTCCTCATATTTGCTCAGAAGCCCTATCAGAATCTATGATAGTAGCATCCCTGATAAGAACCATTACTTTTCACCCCTAATTTCTCCCAACACGCACATGTTCATGCACACACACATACAGACACACACACACACACACACACGACTACCAAGATATGCCTGCTAGCCATGTCCTTACCTCAGGGGTTTGCAAATCAAATTAGTGGCTGCATTAACTACTACTCCTATATTAATACGTTAAACCTACCAGAATATAATGAATCTGAACAAAGAATTTCAATATTTTAAGGAATCATTAGCATTCAGGTTTCAGACATGGAAGCAGAACTACTCTTATAGACTTTTCCCAATCAGTCTATCCAGGCAGCCAATTCTGTTCAAAACGTGAAAGTGTCAGCCACTCAGGCGTGTCTGACTCTGCAACCCTATGGGCTGTGGTCCACCAGGCTCCTCTGTCCATGGGATTCTCAAGACCAGAATATTGGAGTGGGTAGCCATTCCCTTCTCCAGGGGATCTTCCCAACCTAGGGATTGAACCTGGGTCTCCTACACTGCAGGCAGATTCTTTACTGTCTGAGCCACTGGCCTTAAAGAAGGTACAGATCTTTACTAATGCAGATACTTTCCCATGCCTGAAAGACTCTGCAAAGACAAATCCAAAAAAACACTCAGATACATAGGGAGAAGAGATGTATCTTCTATGTCACTGCTTTTGTTCCTATTTAGCTTCTCACTACTGTCACTACTGTGACTTGGTCTGAGCATCTTCTCTGCCGTCCTGATTCTCGTGTAGTGCAAGACTCATTTCCTTACCTGACAATACTCCCTCTTACCAGTTTCCTCACCCCCTTTCCCCGCCCCTTCCTTACTAACTAGTAAGACAGTTTCTCTGTGCTTTCAAGGCACCCAACGCATTGATCACACTACATTCTTCTTCTTTTAGTCACCATTTTCCCTAAATTTATTGTTGGTTTCTTTACTTCTTGCCCCAAATAGACTCAGCACTGCAGAAGCAGGACCATGGGTTTAGTTTAGTTTAGTGTTAGTCACTCAGTCGTGTCTGACTCTTTGCAACCCCATGGACCGTGGCCCACAGGCTCCTCTGTCCATGGGATTCTCCAGGCAAGAATCCTGGAGTGGGTTGACATTCCCTTCTGCAGGGGATCTTCCCAACCCAGGGATCGAACCCAGGTCTCCTGCATTGCAGGCAGATTCTCTACCATCTGAGCTACAGGGAAGCGCCTACCCATCTTCAATACGAGCAGACTTGCAACAATGTGTGCAACACAAATACCTGCTAAATTAGTGAATAAATGGCAGGACCGATGAGCAGATGAGTAACTAGCTTTTTTTAAAAGTTCAAAGGTCTCTAACACTGAGGCCTTTTTGTGAATGACTCTGAATTACTGGAGTTTTGAATTGTCATCTTGTATTACTTTTCTTCCCCATCTTTTATTGCCACATAATCAACTCTTGCCATTGACTGTCTTGCCTGTTTCTAAACCAGTGCTGCCTACAGTTTCACTATCTTGTTTATTTCTATTCTGCTGTGAGACTGTGGTCAGTTTATTAAAGTTACATGCAAGAAGATAGACTCTAAGGACTGAAAACACTTCACGAAACTAGTACATGATTTTTAAGTCAGTCTTGTCTCTTGGAAGCCCTTTTGCTTCTTGTGTGGTGTTATCTGTGCTCCTGATGGCTGAGGTCATGGGATGAAAGACACATTATCACACTCGCAGCCCTGTTGGTTAGAGACAAATGCTACTGTCCTGGCCTAGGGGCATCACCTCAAAGGTGAGAATGCCGTTTAAACTCCTCTGCATGCTCTTCAGTGTCTCCCGTGTTCTTCTCACATTTCTTAAGAATTCAATAAAAAACCTTGTTGGCAAGTATTTTATTTTATTATTTTTTTTGGCAAGTATTTTAAAACACTGCTTCCACTCAGTCACAACAACATAATATACAGGGAAAATTCCTTGACGCCTTCTAACCTATTTTCCTTTGCTTTCACCGTAAGGCAAGACAAATCGTTAAAACACAACTTTTAAAGGAAAGGCTGTAATTCAACTTCCAACTCTACCACTTAACTAGGTAGACAGATACTGGGGGTAAAATCTTTTCACTTTTGAGACTCAACTTTCTCATCTACAGAAATGGGGATAATTGTCAAACTCAATCCTGTCCCAGGATTGAGATACGAACCAAGTGTCCTACTCTATTAAGACAACCATGGTTAAGGTCCGATGGTTAAGACTCTGCACTTTCAACAGGGGAGGCACAAATCCAATCCCCAGTGGGAGAATTAAGATCCCATATGCTGCACAGAGCAGAAAGAAAAAAAAACAAACAAACAAAACAGAAAACCATGGTTAGCTATGAAACATGCAAGCTAAACATTTCTAAATTAGAAGCGAAGGAGAAGACGAAGAGGCTAGGGAGTCACCTCGGTGCAGAGATTTGGAAAGAGTTGATGTGTGGGGAATATGAGGAAGCAGAAGACATATTTCCTAAACCAATGAATATACAATCTATTTGCAGAAACAAGAGTTCTATGTAAGAAACAATTAGTGAACACTACCAGACAATATATACACTCAACTGAGAAACAGCGTGGCACAGAATTTTAACCACTTTAGGGCTTTAAAGAAGGGAGGCATGTGTGAGCTGAATAGATTAAGAAAAACATCTTAGAAATATTACACTCTAGTTTCAAACCTTATAGGAATCCTAACCCATCTCTAGTTCCAACTTTGTTTTTAAGAGATGAAGAACCCACGAGTTCATCTCACTTCTAGAAGAATCCAATCCTCAAGAGTTATAGGATTTGATCAATAGCCAAAGAAAGGTGCCATGTCCTTCATCATCCAGGCCTCCGACCTCCCCCCCACTTGGAGGAGAACAAAAACAAGGATGGGACATATAGGTAATGAGACACTGTGACAAGCCAGTGCGTGGACCAGGGGGTGAGCACAGAGGAGCCGGGACAGACAGGGAAGCTATAACCAAACTCCACTGAGCCAGCAGTTAGCTCTAGATACCAAGGTCAGGAGAAACACCTTATGGTTCTCACCAAGCTGTCTGGGGCTATAAAGTGTCACCTCAGCCTTTTCTCAGAAAGAGACCAGCTGTCTTGGTCCTGCTTCCATGGGGCAGTGACAGAAGGTTTGGGCTCAAAGTCTCCCTTGCAGTGTTCTTTGGGGCCATGACTTTATAACTGCCTCCATCTCTTTCTCCTCTTCCTTCCTTCCTCCTCTTCTCCCTTCTTTCTTTCTTTCTGTGTATCTCTCAGGCCACTGTTTATTCTGCCTGTTCCATGTGCCAGACTTGGACAATCACTCATATAACCATACACTTGACACAACCCTCCCCATAGCTCCACATGCCACGTAACTTGAAAGAAAACTGTGATGCACTTTAGGGCAAAACCAATGCCATTGTTCTATCCCATGAGATGCCCCTCAGCACAAAATCCCTCAGGCCTCAGGGGAAGGTACTCAATCTTCATCTCTTTCCCCTAAGTATTGAAATGTATAACACTCTACCTGGAGCAAGGCATTTCCCCTGACTTTTTCATGGGAATCACTCTGTGTGTGAAAGCATGAGATTTAATTATCCATATCATTGTCTTGGCCTGTATGGGTACAACTGTTGTTAATGATCATAAAATTACCTACTTCTTTGATATAAATTCGGTCACAGTTATGCAGTTCCAATCATGCATCAACCAAGTACACTAATATATATTTTTTCTTAACAAAATTCACATCCTACTTAAGACCAATTAAAAAAATAAAAAACCACATTTCTAAAATGTACATGACTGAACATCCTAGCTATTACCCAAATTAAGAAAATGCTTCAAAGAGGAAATAAAGCGATGTGTTTATTTTCTTTACTGTGTAGTTTGATCTAGGTCTCTATTTGGAGTGATATGCATGTGATGTTTTTAAGATATAAACTGAACTAGCCATGGATCTTTCCATTAATAGTTGCGAGCACAGCCTTTAGGCAGAGGTCACAGGACTCATCACAACTGAGCCAGGACAGCAAGGGCCAAATCTTGCCTACTGGTGTGAGAGTGAAATTGCAGGCTACACCTGAGGAGCCTAAAGTCAAAGTCAAAGTCAAAGTCAAAGTCGCTCAATTGTGCCTCTTTGCAACCCCACGGACTATATACAGTCCATGGAATTCTCCAGGCCAGAATACTGGAGTGGGTAACCTTTCCCTTCTCCAGGGAATCATCCCAACCCAGGGATCAAACCCAGTTCCTGCATTGCAGGCGGATTATTTACCAGTGAGCCACAAGGGAAGCCCAAGAACACTGGAGCGGGTAGCCTATCCCCTCTCCAGGGGATCTTCACGACCCAGGAACTGAACGGGAGTCTTCAGCTTTGCAGGCGGATTCTTTACCAACTGAGCTATGAGGAGCCTATGCAGTCCTTAAACCTCATAAAAGGAGGCTTCCTACTGAAATCTCCTAAAAATCAATGCCACTTCGCACTCACTCTCCATGACGTTCTGGAATTGCAGAGGACAGTGACAGCTCATACATTTTAAATTTTAGAAGTCAAACTTTTAAAACATTTCACCTTTCAGTACACATGCCTTTAAAGATTTTTTTAATGTGGATCATTTTTAAAGTCTTTATTGGATTTGTTAAAATATTGCTTCTGCTGTTTATGTTCTTGTTTTTTGGCCAGGAGTCATGTGTGATCTTGGCTTCCCAACTAGGGACCCCCTGCATTGGAATTTGAAATCTTAATTACTGGACTCGCAGAGACGTCCCTTTCAGTATACATTTCTAAAAGATAAGGATTCCCTTTTCTTCATTTTTTTAACATGGCTACAATATCATTGTCATACAGAATAAAATTTTTAAAAATGTGGTAATATCAAATACCTTGTAAAATATTTAAATTTCTAATTATGTGTTAAATATCAATTCCTATTTAATGTTTGTTTCGTTGAATTAAGATCCAAATAAGACCTAGTCATTGATTAACATGATTTTTCTTTTTTTTTAATATTTTAAACCAACTGCACAGAGGTTTAATTTACATACCATAATATTTACTTGCTGCAATTGAATGCCGATGACTTAAGAACTTGACATTGTCTCTATCAATCTGCAGGTTTCCTCTTTACTTCTCTTTCCTTTATTGTTGTAGAAACTGGGTCGTTTGTTCCACAGTTTCCCAGATTTTTTTTTTTAAATATCACTGAGTTCATCCTTCTGTATAGTTTTATCTGTTTTTCTCTTTTTCATTGTTTTTAATTTATCATTTATATTTTTATAGATTTAGTTTTATAAACTATATTAAAATGATTTTTATAGTTTTCAGTAAACTCATTATTTACTATAAACTGATAGTTGGCACCACTGGTATGCAGTACCTGTAACTACAATATTCATAGATGGTGATGCACATTTCATCTGGATGTATCCTCTTGTGATGCCAGTGGTGGTTGACGAAGGCCTACCTCCATTAATTCATTAGAGGTTGCAAAATGGTCACCTCCTAAATGTGTCATTTCTTCTTCACTGATTAGCTGAAAAGACTGTCATAAAGAATTATCCGCCCCCCCAAAAAAAGAATTATTCCCCTGCTCATTATTTAGTTACCCACTGGTACAGTTTATATAGGAAAGCCAGGATAAATTACTTCATTTATTTTCTTTTGTTAATCACTTTTTAAAGTAATGCATTAGTTTCAAAGCACTGTCCAATAGTAAACAGCATTTATGCTATTGATGTAATGTGTAGGTTTTTAAATATTTGAAATTTTTAATCCTTTGAGTTTATTGTCATCATTTCTCAAATTGCCCTATTTCTGGCCAGTGGTATCCCCTTCATACTATTTCCTGAGTCCTTATGACCCAATCTGGAATAAGATATTTCTTATGCAAACCTGGAACTGGCCCTGAGAATCTTGACAATACATTTCAATTTCCTGTGCATATGTATGTATGCTCCATATGACCCCTTTCACCTGGGTTACCACTGTCTCTCTCAGCGTCAACATTATTCCCTCCCTCCCAACAAAGCTTTCCTAAACTTTCCTCTTTTGAATAGAATACAACAGGTGTTATCTTTAAACTTAGGCTGAGAATTCTTTAGTAATTCATTCAAACTGCAGCAGTCAGAGTTTGATCAGAGACTCAAACCATGAGATTAAAATAAAGGTCCACAAAAACAAACTCAAAATGGATTAAAGATCTAAATGTAAGACCAGAAAATATAAAACTCCTAAAGGAAAACATAGGCAAAACACTCTCCGACATAAATCACAGCAGGATCCTCTATGACCCACCTCCCACAATATTGGAAATAAAAGCAAAAATAAACAAATGGGACCTAATGAAACTTAAAAGCTTTTGCACAACAAAGGAAACTATAAGCAAGGTGAAAAGACAGCCATCAAATTGGGAGAAAATAATAGCAAACAAAGCAAAGGACTAATCTCAAAAATATACAAGCAACACCTGCAGCTCAATTCCAGAAAAATAAGTGACCCAATCAAAAAATGGGCCAAAGAACTAAACAGACATTTCTCCAAAGAAGACATACAGATGGCTAACAAACACATGAAAAGATGCTCAACATCACTCATTATCAGAGAAATGCAAATCAAAACCACAATGAGGTACCATCACACGCCAGTCAGGATGGCTGCTATCCAAAAGTCTACAAGCAATAAATGCTGGAGAGGATGTGGAGAAAAGGGAACCCTCTTACACTGTTGGTGGGAATGCAAACTAGTACAGCCTCTATGGAGAACAGTGTGGAGATTTCT